TTCCACACTTCGGGCTTGAGTATGACTAGCTGACGACGGCTAACGAGCCAGAAATGGCATTCCAGTCTCCCTTGTCTTTGTCGGTAATAACATATTGAAACTCCACTGTTAAGTAATGATGCCCACGACACGCCTCCTTATTCTTTTCTGTCCTGCCATCTAGCCGTTTCATTGGAAATCAGGTCTAGGGTCCTTGTGTTGGTTGTGACCTATGCAAGATAGAGATTACTTCTGATGGCGGCTACTTTCCTAAGATGGTACGTATTCTCAGTTTCTTTATCTCCCCAGAAATTAATGCGCTAACCTGTAGTAAATCAGTCGGAATAGGGATTTATGGCCTCAGTCTGAAATTTGATATGAATAGATGAACCGAAACCCATCAGATTCCCCTGGATAATCGCGTAACAGAATGTTATTACCGACAAAGACAAGAGCGACTGGAATGGCCATTTCTAGCTTATTGGCCGTCGTCAGCCAGTCATGCCCAACATTCTGCCTATATCATGCGCCGCTTTGTGGCTGCTGATTGGGCTCGAAAGAGAGCCCGTAAGGCACGACGGAACGATTGAGTTCCGTAAGAACGACCAATGAGCGCCCCTCTACCAATCATGTAACATTCATCAATCATGTAACATCATCATTAGGCAGCCAATATACATACGCTGTATGCTTTACCACACTGACAGCGCAAGCACTAGCTTAAAGCCCAAACCTAGGTTTCGCCAATACTTTGCCTTTTTGTGACACAGCTGTGAGGGGGTTCGGCTCACCACTGGGGGACCCCCCAGCGTTGCTCGCGTGCTTTCTGGTAGATACTGCAGTTTCGAAATTTCAGCCTTTTTCTCCTGACCCGTCATCCAATGCCTGTGCTGTCAGTATGGTAAAATTGTGCAACATTGGAGTCTTTTCTGTCCGCACTTGCTCTTCGCTGGGAACAAGGCTTGTCCTCTGCCGTTCGGGGTCCTATATGTTGCTCTCACGAAACAAAGTCAGGCATTAGGCCATGCGGAAGGTCTGCGTCATTCCTTCATCTATGCCCCCTGACTGAAGGCCGTCATTTGCATTATAAATGAGAACTTTACACTCAGCATTTTTGTCAACAAGTTCGCTTATATAGTTTACGTAGCGATCAGGTTTCCAATAGAAACGAAGAGACGAGTCCCAGGAAGCAGTCGTGAAGAAGGAGACAAGATCACTGGAACAAGCGTTTTATTCGCCCGACGGTTCTGCATTCCTACTAGAACACATCATCAGAGACGGCTGCAAATAGGGGTAGTCAATGCACGAGGGGCTGCAGTACTTAGAGGATGCAGTCGCCATGCAACCGCATATCTACTTAAAATTCACAACTCCCCCCCCCCCCTGATCGGACATTCTTGCACTTGGTATGATGACTGTTTGATGGCCGACATTCGCGTAGTTAATTGATGGAATTTCATCACGTGCGTTGGATGTTGGTGTGATGACTGCTCTACCATCTGACCCACCAACCCTAGCGTTGGAAACGGTGTTCACCTGTGCGCCCCCCGCGTAGCTAAGTCTTCCGCCTAGGCGAAGTCTCAGCACAGTGTATGGCAGGGAAGGTCATCGCACTTGTTTAGGTACTGGGGGCAAGGTGTCCAGCACCTTCAAATTCTTCCTGTTCACGAAAGTGCCCATTTATGTGAGGTGGGCCAGAGCACGAAAAAGGAAGTCTGTTAGTACAGGGTCTATAAGGGGTGCTCAGTGGAGTATAACTTCCATATTTGATTGGCTTACTCTTCACAAGGTCATTGCAATGTGGCGTGTGGGCTTGTTATGCAGAAGCAGGGAACCTTCGCAGTTAGTTAGAGCTGTTTATCATTTTCACAGTTGCCGATGGACCACTCCCACTGTAATCTTTGCTCCATGCCTGGAGACGCAACGGTGCATTAATCCTACAGCAGATCAGCAGTCGGTAACGTAGTTTTTTCCGGTCTGGGGTCAAGTTTTGCCTGAGATCGCGGGCGCTGGTTCTTGCTATGTCACTGCACCGAATTTTCTCTGTTATTGCACAAGGTCCGAACTTCATCATGTTTAAGAATCTGTGCGAAAATAAATTCATTTTCGTTCCGCAATAAATGTCAGCGCACTCATCCGGCTGTGAAGACCGTTTTGGCAAAACACACACCAAACCAGAAGTATACAAACCATCTTCGGACGGTGGTTACGGTACATAATTGTCAAAAGTTGTTCGCACAGGGCGGGCTGCCTCCATTGCGCAGCGTTCCGGTTTTGTCTCATGAAGTGGCGGAAGTCAAATGCCATGCCTTCCCCTATCACTTTACGTTGCGTCAAATGTACCTTAAAGTTCGATGCAACTGTTTGTCCGTTTGGGAAATGATGAACGCTAAGTAATGATAAGCCGGACGGTGTGTAACAGATTAGGCCAATTGTACACTGCGAGTAGTCGAGAGTCAAATTCACACACCACAGAGGCGGGCGAAACTTTCTGAATGGCTGAACACTTTTGGCGAAAATAATGATCTGTTCCTTTTTCCTGGAACAGGGATATGCACAGCCTCTGAATGCGAGAACACCTCTCTTCTTTGGGTAGACTTTACTGACTGGTCTTTGACGACACAGGGTGGATCTAGTGTAGTGGAGTGCTCAGCGTAAAATGTGCGTGCTCATTGTAAGCGTTGTCTAATGCTAGGAAGCATAACCGAAAGTAACTGCTGAAGGTGGAGTAATTCCGTCCATGAAAGCTATCGTGCTGCGCAGTCACAGCTAGAAAAGTAGGATTGGACTATACTAGGTGACGACGGGCCTGAAATCGGCCGCGGTAAATCCATGAAGCCTGAATTGCTGACTCCTGTTTCCGAGTGGGGAAGCTAAGTGCCATATTACGCGTGTGGAAGTTATCGAGTGAAGAAGTGGACCACATCTGGCTTGTGATGAAAGTCGAGGCTGTAAGGGGTCAGACTGGAATGAGCGCTTCTGTACTGGAATGTCAGCAGCAAAAAGCAGGGCGGACAGTGGAAGAAAAAGGGTCGTTGCATTAGCCCTTAATGATTTCAGTCTACATGGTGCATGCGTTGCGCGTTATGAAAAGCATATATTCTATGCCTTTAAAAAGATGCCATATAAAGTTAATGAAATTTTTCAATGGATGCGGGCTTTGCTGTACACTTCATGAGGGAAAGTGGTAAACGGACAGGTACGACGTTGTATGAATGGACATGGTACAGTGTTAAAAGTCTCATAATTAGAAACTTCTTTAAAACCCAGTTAAGCTCCTTCTTCAGGTATGAAGTATGCAGATGACGTGATTCTTTATTAAACGAGTGAAAGAAGGCCTATTTTTGTCCATGTTTTTTTGTAAAATATACTTGAATTTATAAGACCACTTGAAAATAACTGTGAAAAATGCATGCTACTTAAGTAGCCATTTTTTTACCGAGTAAGCTTACTACAGGAGATCGAAAAAACAACATTCAAAAGCTGGTGTCCTGCCGAGCGCGAAATATTATAGGATTATGCTGCATGCTAATCAGTGCTAGAACCCTGCCTAAGTCATCCTTCCTAATCGAAAACGCATTTCAGTATTTCGGCCAACATTTCATCAGATCGGTCACCCACCATATGGCAATAAGCTGTGTTAAATATTTTTCCAAGGAGCAAAGACAGTCATTTAATAATATATTCATCAGGCCGTACAGGGGGTGTCTACAGCGATGAGGGTAAATTGATGCAACACTGTTTTAGGGCTGTCCCGCCTATATTCAACCAAGTAGTACTAGTATCTGTCCGCTTGTGCATCACGAACGAATATCTATCATGGCTTGCTCTGTAGACAGTCAAAACCGCAATAAAGTTAACTAGCACACTTACAAAACAAAGGCACTCCTGAGTTGTTGACGATTTCAACTTCTCATAACCAGCGGTTAGGCTCAAATCTGTCCAAGTATTTAACCTAGGCGAAATTAAATTCTACCAAAGCCCTCTAAGTGGTCTGCGATCGAATATGCAAGGACATATTCAGCCATTCAAGCTGGTGTTTAATTTGCATAAGCTTTTTCAACACAACATAAGGGTGCTGTAAGTCTTTGCCACCTAACGCCCACTTGTTCTTCCACAAAGAATAATAGGACTCCTTCAAATTCAATACTGGTAATTATCAGCACAGAATGGGGAAGAAACTTTGCGACCAAAGTGTTTTCTTTCCCAAAATACATTTCAGTGTTCTGTTCGAAAGCCCCACCTATCCATTTACTTCGCAACCTGGCTAAAGTAACTTGATGAAACTGAAGCATTGTTACTTTTAGAGTCAATCACGAAGCCTGACGCTATTGATTCAAGCGTCAAGTCAGAACCGAAAGCCATCAGGTAATTGCATTCACATTTCGCATTTGGCTTTTGATATTCCTACTTTAAATTACTCTCGTATAAACATCTTGTTTATTCGGACAATAGCAAGCGCTCTCAATAGTTGCAACGATTGAATAAGTTAAACGCACCTCAGGGAATACCGTTTTCGTCAATTAGGATCACCTTAAGGTCCAATTGTCCAGGAAATCCCAGCGGCTCAGAATTCCTGCTGCTTAAAAGTACTTAACAAAGTATGATCGTCACGAACGAAGGCGAACGCTCAAATTCTATATGTATGAGTAAGAGAGACGAAAAAGACTGGTTGAGCACCGGCGCCATTTGTTTATTAACTGAACTTTCGAAGTCGTGTAGGAGTCCGTCAGCAGAAATAATAGCAGCAACAAAAGAAGCGACGGCTGTAGAGGGTATTAGTCAAACGACGACCAGTGATACAGGCCTGGGGGTTACTGCGCAAGGCTCGGTACCCCGGCGCTAGGTCGACACGTCAATTGACTGAATAGTCATCTGATGTCCAGGCTTCAGTCGATGCTCGGCTTCTCTGTCCCCCGGTGTGGGCGATTGTCCTGGCGACTGTGAATTTGAACTTGTGACCCGCCGCCTACCATCTGCAAGAGAAATTGCTGAAAAATACGGACCTCTACACCATCTTGATGGACCTGACAGAGGCCTTTGACACGGTGAAACGGGATGGACTCTGGAAAATCCTGCAGAAATTCGGATGTCCTGAGCGATTCACGTACATGATGTCAGCTCCACGACATGATGATAGAGTGAGTCACGGACGAGGAGACCGTCTCAGAAGCGTGCCTAGTGACCAACAGAATAGAACGGGGTTGCGTACTTGTCTCCGCCCCTTTTAGTCTTATTTTCTATGTTATGCTGATGGACGCCAACGTGATGAGCTTAACGGGATCCGCTTCGGTTGCAGGACCGGCGGCCATCTTCTCAAAAGCTGGCCTATACAGGCCCCGGCACGTCTATCTACGACTACTGTCCACGATCCGCTCTTCGCGTGCGAATGCGCACTCAACACCGCGACGGAAGCAGACATGCAACGGAGCATAAACCTCTTCGCCTCCGGCTGCGCCAACTTTGGACTGACCATCAACACGGACAAAACTGTGGTCATGCATCAACTGCCGCACAACGCTGTATCCAATGATCCCCGCATCCACGCCATCTATACCAGGCTGAAAACCGTTGGCAACTTCGTTTACCTGGGCAGCACATTTTGGCGCTGCATCAAAATCGACGAAGAAGTGACCTACCGAATCTTTAAAGTCAACCAAGTCTTCAGGTGGACTGCAGAATTCCGTATGGAATCGCCACCGTCTCTACCTTAGCGTAAAACGTAAGATGTACCAGACCGTCATCTTGACGACACTGCTGTATGATAAGGGGACCTAGCTAGTCTACAAGAAACAAGGGCAAAAACGCAATCACTTCCACCTCAGTTGAGGTGGCAGGACAAGATCCCGGATACGGAAGTTTCGGAGTGGACCTGGACCCTTAGCATGCACGCCATGCTGGGGCAACTGCAACTACGATAGAGCGGTCACCTCGTGAGGATGGATTATGAGAGACTGCCCGAATAACTCTTCTATGCAAATGTCGTGACGGGTGTTCGCCGACAGGGCCAAACTGGCCTCTGCAAGGGCATCCCAAAGGTCTATTTGAAACGGTTACAAATCAGCCCGAAAGCATGGGAGGACCCCGCACAAAAGAGAAGAGTAGTGCAAACTGGAACAGTAATTTATGAAGCTGACTGGATAGCCGCTGCTAAAACCAAGAGAGCGATTTGCAAGTGCCAAGCACCCCCAATCCACATCGTTAACACCTAAGCTCTTCCAAAGTGCCCATGCCGCCAGCAAGCTTCGGACATCTCAGTGAAACGTCAGCCCAGCCCCAGCGCTGCCTCCACAACCAGACGCCTCGTTAATCAGTACCCCCATTATCACCACCTCCACAATCAGCGGTGTGGACTCGGTCTCAGCATGTCCTTATTGCAGTCGTGCCTTCACCTCACACATCGGCCGTGGTCGGTCACTTACGAAGCCATCGCACTGCGACCGGCGCACCAGTGCCAGGAGCCCCCCACATACGCTCGCTACGTCCGCCTCCACTGTCCGCGCTATCCGCGCACATTCACACGTCACGTGGGCCCTATTCCATCGCATGCGTATCCAAGACAACGGAATTAACCGAAACGTTGATACACCAAGCGTACCTTGCACAGCCACCAACTCTCCCATTCCTAGTCCTACCAACTCCCTGTCCACCAGCTCGGCCATTACTAACAGCATAACAGCCTCCCAGCATCACCCATCTTATCCCGCCCATGTCGCCACAGCGCATGCACGCCACGCATCGACCTGGTGTTTCATTTGCGAATCCATCACATGGACGCTGGCGAACCAGTGCCTGGAGTACCAACATACACCCGCCACCATCGCCTGAACTGCAAGAAATACCGTTGTGTATTCCGTCATCTCGTGCGCCTACTCGATCACATGCGCCTTCACGAAAGTCTACTGTGAATCAACGCAAACTAAACTACCCCTTCACGCATTTCCCCACCAACACATGCACCACACATGAACACCTCCAACATCCCATGCTACCAGCACCTCTTACGTAAGTGAGAAGTGTGCTCGTGGACGCTTCTCCAGGTTGTTCGTATGCCACACGTGAGGTCTGAGCAGTCCACCTCCTGTGTGAAATCCCGGTGTGTCCACCTAGGATCCAGGTCGTGTGTGTGTGGCAGGCGCAGACGGGCCGTTTTTATTTCTGCCAGCCATCGCTACCAATCATAGCATCAGTTGGTTGACCGGCTCCTACAACCGATTGGTGCCCAGGAGTGGGAAGGCAGAGTCAGGTCGACGGTCTCAGCGCAATGCAGTGCGCTTGAATTTATCAGGGTACACTAATAGCCGTGACTTGGAAGGTTGCCAATCGACGATTTAATTTGGACCTTGCTTTCAGCCAAGTGTCTGCTTGCGTAGAGCGGCCTGGTGGATTTAGAGTCAGGCTTTAACGGCTCCTTCTAAATGGGGCCGCTATGGCACTCCCACTCAGCTGGTGTGGTGGCATGCCTAGATGCAAGTTTAATCTTGCCAGAAACTTGCGCATTCTCCAGCTCCTGATCTTCTTGACCCTGTCATGACACTGAACCCAGATGGAGAAGAAGAGGGTGCGGTTGGTGCCGCACAAGTTTACTATTACTATAAACGAATTCACACGCCAGTCAGCGTCCCTGTTCCCATCCTGTTGCGGAGCATTTGGTGAACATCGTAAGAAACGACCGTCAAACAGGTCAGACTATACGCATGTTCAGATCGCGCATACACGAACATAAGCTGACGGAGTGAGGATGTATCGCAAGTGACTGCCCACACTTTCCAAACAGGTCACGAGTTTAATTTCGCAGCCATCAAGATAATTGCTCACAACGGAAGCCAGGGAAGCCGAGAATCGATCGAGGTCTAGGCCTCGGATGAGAACTCAGTCTTCTGTTGGATCGGTCTGGCGCCGGCATACTGAGTCCTGCGTAGGCACTTCCAGACCTGCATCACTCGTCATCGATTGACTGCTACCCCCTATAACCGTCGCTTGTGCTGTTGCTGCTATCATCTCTGACGGTGGACTCGCGCACGACTTCGAAAACCTCGGATCAATAAACAAATGGCGCCGATGCTCAGATAGCCGCCTTCTTACTCATATTATAATATCCAACGAGTGGGTTTTGTAAGAGACCTTTATGGCGAGCAAGACTGTGCTACTTCATAGGAATCTTGACGTTTTCACTATAAAAAACGCCAGGAAACAATTTATTGTACGCTGGAGGTCTGCGCGACCGTTGCTGAATCACGTATGTTCTAGCGCCCTTCCCACACCTTTCTAAGTCGTCTTTCAGGACAAAAGAATCCTAAAGTTTCTGGCTTGCGCATTCATCTGATGCTGTGATGAACACCTTCAGTCATTAGCGGATTTTCACGGGCCTCTGGCGCTAACTAAACTGAGGCACCCCGGGAGCTTCATAGTGATTGTGGGTCGCTCACAGGCAACCAGAACCATCACTAGCCATGAGGTGTACGCGTTGGTGATTAGGGCGGCTTTTTCGTGACTTCATTCTTCTCCCGTCATGCGTATTCTGATGGCGGGACTAGATCGAACGACCTGAGGTGCTGGCAAGGCTAGGCCGCCGACCATCGCGTACTACACGCGGTCTATTTCCCCACTCCACATTTACCCAGTTTCAGTGGAAGAGGGGCCTTGAATTCCCTACCAGTGTTTCCCAGGTGTCTTGGCTAATCTGGAGACACATGGCAGAGATCTTCGAGATGACATTATTTTCATTTGTCCTGCCGATAGGACGGGTGATCATTCGAGGTCAGCGTTGGTCCTCAACTGAGGAATTTTCCCTATGGCTCTCTCGAATGTTTTAGACGTGCATTTGAGGACGTCCCTAAGTGCTTCACCCAGCGTTCCAGAATCTACCTTCTCACCGGCACTAGGCTGGCATCGTCTGAGATGGGCATTGGCGCAGTCTACTTGCCTTGGGGCCGTAGACTGTTTTGATGTTCCCGAAGAAGTTATTCGTTTTACCGCGGTCTGCGTACTCCTAAATTTATCCTGCTCCACTGGGATTCGACACTGGAAATATACGTTTTTGCCTACACCGACCCCCCTTGATGGCATGGGTTGTGTGCGGCCTATAGCTTTTCAGGCAGGAGCTTCTGGACCTGCAGTCGGTGACCCTGATCTCATAAAATATCAGCGGGAATTCTGAAACGCGGTTTCGATTATGAAGGGCTACTTGAGTGGATCTGCAATATTGATCGTCATGCGGCATATTCATATGATCTTTCAGGCACGACTGGATGTTGGCTTTCGAATGCACTCCTTTTCGATCGCTTGCAAAAACCGCATATGATAAAAATGACCGCGTAGCTCGTGTGCTTTATCGTTGATTTCAGATACCCTTTTAAATTCAAATACTTTTTATAGACAACGTACACAAAATATCCTTTTTGTTCTTATTTGGTATTTTGCAGAAAGTCACCTGCTCTTTAAATATTATGCTTAAGAAAGGAGTATAGTTCGGCTTGAAAAAAGTTTCCAATGATGAAATTTTTCAAGACTGCAATATCCATTCCAGTAGCATCGCATCTGTCTGTTTATTACCGCTCTCCGTTAACTTTGCAACACGGTCCACATTCGTTGCAAGGGTTTGTGGTAAGATGTGGGTTGGTAGCCCCACCTGGTGGACACAATACTGTTGGGTTTGAGGGTTAAGGTTCAGGGTTAGGGGTTAGGGCTTAGGGTTTAGGATTAGGCGTTATAGTTAGGGGTTAGGGTAAGGGGTTAGCGCAACCATTTCTCAACCATTTAAAGTACAGCAGCGCATTCCCAATTGCTTTTCTTTTGCACACAATTGCTTTCCCTGTGGCCTGTGCGTTCCCCGGCCGCCCCGGCAAAAACCTCTGTGGTAGGGGGCGCTCACCGATCGTTCTTACGGAACTCACTCGTTCCGTTGCGCCTTACTTGACATCGTTGCCTGTGCGTTCCTCGGTCCCACCTGTGAAAATCTCTATTACCACCTGTCCCGTATAAGAGGAGACTGGGGTTTGCTTACTTCAGGTGGGGCTACATAACCAATCCAATCCCAATCGAGGACGCATTTCAGAATTTTGGTTAACATTACTTAAGGCACGTCACTGACTGTATTTTTCGTCGTCGTTAAACCGGTCTCTCTCTCTCTCTCAAATAAAAGCATCAATAGTAATAAAAATGTAATTCCAAAGAAAAATATCAAAATAGGAGGCATTCACCGGTGGGAGGGAGGGAGGCGAGCCGTTTATTAACTGTCCGTCACTCACAATGACAATATTGATCATCCGTCTTTAGACTGGTGTTTCCTCTGCATAACTAACACAAAAGGGTAATTGGGTCGCGCGTTTCATGGAACCTGAGGTTTTAGTCTTGTGAGTTTTGGATCTCATGCAACTGAGAGTGTCATAAAGACCACATTAAGGAGGACCTATTGTGGCTGCCTCGTCGGTCGGCAGTCTTCCGAGCCCGACTGTTAGAGCATCGTTGTTGTTTCAACGAGCGTTTGGTTGCTTTTAGCGAGTAGCCAATTGCTAGATCCTTTTCTGCTCTTCCATACTCCGTCTGAGTCAAGCCGGGTGGGGATGAGATTGGTAGCGGTAGCTGAGGTGACGTGAAGTCGCCGTCTGACGTCTCTGGGATGCAGACTGGACGGCTGCCGACCTTCCTGACTGCGACTTTTAATGCCTCCCGATAGCCTGCACTCGCCAGGCTTATTTTAGGGATAAATGCGCTTGAGGGGGAATGCCTCAGGATGTAACTCATTCTCCCTTCCTGCCACCAAGCGTCAATGGCCCGTCCGATCTCGTCAGCAGACTGTAGATGAGATTAAATGCAACAGCTCTCGCGGCGTGAATGTCTCCGTCTACTTCGGTCGCGCACGTACCGGTCCCTAACTTCGCGTGACTAAACTTCCAAGAAAATTGGAAGTTACGCACGTGGGTACATACAGTGCTTCACCCGCCAGCTAGCAAATCGCACCTGGCGATTAGTGCTTGGACAGTGTATGATGCTTTGCTGGTCTTCCATGTGTATACTCACGTGACCGAAAAGCCCATGCATTGCCTGAGTGTACATGTGGGTTTGCATGCGAAGTAAACTTCCATAAAGACGTGAATTGTGTTGTTTTTCTGAATAATGCCTGCACCTATGGCTGAGTGGGGCTGAGCGAGTTCCTGTCATCAGATCTTCTGCGACAGTGAGGGGGACATGCCCATGATTTGAGCGTGACCGTATTTATTCGCTTGCTGAAATTTAGTCGACGTCCGGTGCGTCTGTTTCACCGACTTAATATCCTTCCGAGGTAGATGTGGGTCATCAGAGTTAACAGAGGTCTCCCCTTTGGGGAATCTGTCGGTCGCTCCCCCTGGTTTTTCCAATGAACGTTTTAGAACCCTCTACGACACGGACGATGATTGCCAATAGAAGCAAAGAGACGAGTCCCAGGAAGTAGTCTTGAAGAAGGAGACACGGTCGCCGGGACAAGAGCTTTATTAACCTGACGTTTCGGATTCCTACTCGAATCCATCATCAGAGACAAAAAAGCAGAAACGGGTTGTTGTTGCACAAGGGGCTGCGGTATTTATAGGATGCAGTAGCCATGCTACCGCATACCTATGAACATTCACGGCTCCCCCCTTCATCCGGGGTCGTCGCACTTGGTCTGATCATTGCTTGATGGCCGACATTCGAGTCCATAATTGCTGCAATTTCATCACGTGCGTTGGATGTTGGCGTGATGATTGCTCGACCATCTGACGCATCGACCCCGGTGTTGGGAAAAGTGTTCACCTCTGCGCTCCCCGCATGGCTTGTTACCCCGCCTAGGCGAAGTTTCAGTACGGAGTATGGAGTGGGAAGATCGTTGCACTTGTTGATGGACTGGGGGCCAGTAAACCATGATTCCAGTAGCTCCCGGCTCACTCGGTTGTCACCTCTTGCGAGAATTTCGGCCTCATCGAATTTGAATATGTGGCCGGATCTCGTCGAATGAGCCGCAACTTGAGAGCTGGCGTCATTTCTGAGCACCGCTGCCGCGTGTTCCGCCATTCTCGTTCGGAGCTGTCTTCCGGTTTCTTCGACGTAGTTGCTTTTTCCGCAACTGCACCAGATCCGATAAACGATTCCAGACGTTCCCAGCCGTGGCAGTGGGTCTTTCGGTTTCATGATCAGACGCCTGATGGTTGCCTCCGGTCTGTGTGCCAGTCCAAACCCAAGTGGTGCGAGAAGGCGGCCGACAGCTTTCGAAACGTTCTTGACATACGGAAGTGCCCGCCAAGATTTGGTGTCCGTGCAGTTGCGGAAATGATGTTAGATCTTCATAGTTGGATCCTAGTCTGACAAAACGGTGAATTTAGTAGAGACGCCAATGCGTGATCGTGTCGGAGGACAGTCCAAAGCACTTAGAGTGGGCGCGACTTGATATTCTGCATTCCTCTTCGGGAGCTTCTGGTTCCTACTGCAATTGCCCAACTGAAGCATTAGGTACATAAAAGTGTCCCCTGTCTAAAAATTCTGGAAAGCGAGATCTTATTACCGTTGATGATAATCCGTGGGGTAGGTGACTCCATCTAACCGACCGCAGCGATAGGAATCCGATCATATCGAATGCAGACATCACGTACAGGACACTAGTAAATCGGTGTATTTGGCGTGCTTATTACGCTCTCTCCTCGGCCGATGGCACCCCCTCCGCTGAAGTCAAGGTGGGCACAACCCATTTTTGAGGCCAAAGACGCTCATGCAATGGAATTACAAGTAATGTATGCCGCAAAATTTTGCGCAAGAGAAATGGTCTCGTTTTATACTAACAATATCTCCCCACTGGATACTGTTGAGTCCACTTGAACTCTTGCTGACCTATAGAAGTAGTTGAAATTAAAGCGGGCCTAATTAACGATATTATTCGTCTCATGACGCAGGTTACTTTCGCGTTATTTGGTGCGGATGAAGCAAGAGAGGTATATTCGGTGGACGCCGTCGAGATAAAGGAGGGAAGGCGGAACAAGTTGCTAAAAATCAGACTGGACAAAGTGTCGACAGTGAAGGTGGGCGAAACACCTCATCTCCCGATGCGGTCTTATTGCCTTGCTAGTTGACAAGTAAGGTAAAGATAGTTGAGAAGGCCGACAAGTCAACAAGGTAAACACGGCGTTTTACCAAGACATTTGTGGCAACACCTTCATTGACGATATGAGGCCAGCTTTCGAAGTTAGACGCCCTATGGGGGCCATAATCGATAGGGCGCCTTCTTGTGTCAACGTACTTGACACAGTTAGATGTTGGCTTTTGATGGAAGACCACCTCGGTAAGATATGGTTATGTAGTCCCACCTGATGGACACAATAATGTTATGGTTGGGGTTAGGGTCAGAGGTTATGGTTATGGGGTTAGGGTTAGGGATTAGAGTTAGGGGTTGGGACAACTATTTCTCAACCACTCAAAGTACAACCGCGCATTCCCAATAGCTTTTCTTTTGCACAAAACTACTTGACCTCGTCGCCTATGGGCTCCCCGTCCCCGCCTCTAAAAACCCCTATTACCACCGATCCTGTATTTCAAGTGGCTGGGGTTTCTTTACTTCAGGTGGGGCTACATAACCACATCCGACCGCCACCTCCACCCTTATCTACGTCCTACGTAACAACAGCCACTTAAGTGGTGTGTAATATTCGAGCAGTTTTTTTCATATTTTTTAAAATACAGAAATCGTTTTTGAAATCAATAGGAAAGTCGTTAATTTATTGCAGTCCTATCGCTGGAAACGTATTCGTCTGGAAACGGTGCACTGGAAGAAAAAGACGGATATTTAAATTTGCAAATGCAAAGTTGTCAGATTTAAGGGCCTGTTGAAATGCTTGCTTTCCAATGGTTCTTCTCCATGGAAAAGTTTGTTGGTCAGTGTTTAGCGAGTCTTGGCTATTACTGTGCCACAAGTGGTAGCCTGCCTATCGTCTGCAAGTCCACGCTAGCCAGTCTACTCGGGATCTCAGGACGTGCCCTCACGAAAGCATGCTTTCCCCACGAAGTCCGAGAACGGGACGTATCGAACTAACCTGGCTGTCTTTTCTAACGTGGCAGCCTGCGTCTAGACTAAAGTGTAAGGTGGTGCTGTCCTTTCTCCCCTCACGCACCCAAATAATCGGCACAGTTTTAGGACATGTTGATTAAATGCTTTTGTGATCATGATGTACGGCCTCGGCGCAGCGGAATATATTGTTCTTCGCCACTTTCGCTGAGCTAGTGTCCAGAACAGGGAGGAATCCTCCGCACAAGTCCTCATCCGCTTTGTGCCTCTACAAGTGGTAACTTGTCGCCTCTCGTCTCATTTTATTATAAACGTTGCCATCAATTGCTGTGTCGTTTAAGATTACCCAACTGATTGTACTCCAGCTCAGTCCTTTATAACCTCCCTTTGGACTTAACGGAACCAGTACATTTCGAGGTGTGCCTTGAGGTGCTTCCATATAACTATTTTCGCTGAACAACGACAAGGGAAGGAGGTTCCAAGACCATCCTGCCGACTAACGATTTTGCGTTGACTGCTGCCTGCTAATTACAAACCTTAAATTAATCGCTTGGCAGACTTTTTCAGCTCGTGGCGCACTCACCAGAAAAAACGTTTATCGAGGCACGTTGACTAAAACAACAAAATTCCATTGTACATGTGGTTTATTGACCTTGTTGTTCTCTTTAAAAATTTAAGAGGTTAAGAAAGCAGTCCTTAGAGTACCTCTGCCTTGGTATAATTTAGAGGAAATATCGCACATTAACCTGCGAAAATCGGGAATTTAAAACTCGTATACATTTTGTATGTTCAAATGAAATATAGTACTATACGAGTAGGCCGAAAAGTGAGAGAACACGGGCTCCCTTTTGGACAGACTTTTTACTGCAACTTCGTCGCCACGGATATTTCAAATGACTGACGGATCTCTTGACCCGTTTCACCTGCATTTCAAAGCACCACCTCTACATCCCTCACCACCACTGATAACACTCCAGATGTCCCGTCAACCACCGCCCCTGCGACCAGCAATTTAGACTCGACCCCAACCTGTTATCATTGCCATCACACTTTCACCTCACGCATACAACCGGTCGGTCACCCGAATCCATTGTACTGAGACCGGCGCACCAGTGCTAGGAACCCCGACATACACTCGCTACGTCCGCCTCCACTGTCCGCACTTCCCACTTGCATTCAATTATCGCATGAGCCTACCCGCCCACATGCGCATCCGTGAAAATCTGTGGTAAAACACCGCCGGTTGAACACCGTCATCACCACCTCACCACCATCAACACACACATCAAACACGAACCCATCCCTCATCACCTACCACAAGCACAAAACGACATCTCTCACACAAGTGGGGATTCTGCTCTTTCGCCTCTGATACTGTAACGAATTCGGGCTCCGAGCGGCCCGCCCCCCTCGCGTGAAATCCTGCTGTGTTGTGTGGGGGCCAGGTCATATGTTTGGCACGCGCAAACGGGCTGTTTTTATCTCTGCTAGTGATATCTCCCAGTCTCAGTATGAGCTGGTTGACGGGCTCGTACAATCGGTGGGTACCCGGGAGTGGGAAGAGAGAGAGAGAGTGAGGTCGATGGTGTCAGCGTATAATTTCTCACCAATAAGCAATCCGGTGCGCTTGAATCTATCACGGTGCGCTAAAATACCGTGACTTGGAAGGCTACCAACTGACGGGATAACTCGATCCTCCTCTCAGGACGGAGAGTTAGACCGCAGTAACTCCCTCTTCATGTGGCCTTTATAGAACTCCCACTTAGTTGGGATCTGAACCATCCCCCTTTCTTGTTGTGCGGAATCCCAACCCTATGTGCGTTTACCAGAAATGTGGTGACACGTGTAGGTGCGGATTGACTTCGCGCCAGCCACCTGCTTCCAATTCCACCTTCGTTCGTCTTGACTTTGTCATGATACTGGTTTCGGCTGAAAGAAGAGAAGAAGGCGCTAGAGATTCAGCCCGAATTTTCTATCATTACAAACTAATTCATGTCCTAGTCACTGTCTCTGTTCCCTCCCTGCTGTGGGGCACACGGTGGTTATTGTCGGTAACGACATTCAATCGTCATTTCACGGCAGAGTTTACCATCTCCTGTGCCAATCCCTAACGAGCAGCTTCGCTTTTATTGATCCACGCCTTGCCTGCACGAACTAGACTATCTAAAAGTGGGCTGATTTGTCTTAGTATGTATTTCTCCGTATTTAATGCCATAAAGTTTTGGGTGTAATTTAACCCCATTCATCATAAGTTCGGCATATGAACGGCTTGTTAGAGTTGAAAGAAATATCTACTAGGTAAAAACGAGTAGACATGTTGTTTGTCTTTCGAATAAGTTCCGTCGTTTTGCTTAGCCAAACACAAACGGGTAGAGAGCCGGCGGTCCATAACCTATAGCACAATTACAGTAGATGTGCTAACTCATAAAATGTTAGCCGAAATTCGGAAATGCTCTTTCGACCCGAAGAGATTATTAAAGTAGGGTTGTAATATTAAGCACCATGCCGCATAATCCTATGACAATTCAGTAACTTCAGGACGTCGGCTTTTGAATGAACTTCTTTCCGGCCGTCTGCGAAAACTAAACTCCGTAAAGATGACTACTTAAGAAGCACGAATTTTTCTCATCGATTTTCGATACCCCTATAAACTCAATTATAGTTCGTGGAAAACATACATAAAAATATTCATGCATTTACTCATTTGGCAGAAACTTACGTCTTCTTAAAATTTTATACTTGCAGAAATGGTATAATTCGGTTTTCAAAAACTTTTTTAATTCCCGAATCATATGGAGTTCATTAAATTCAGCTGTGGATTTGAGCCATGTTGTAAACTTTACTAGCAACATTACTTGATTCAGAGACAAGATGTTTTATGAACGTGCAATTCACGGTCTTAAGAAATCTCATAATCTGACACTTTTTTAAAACCGTATTAACCATTTCTTCAAGTATAACATTTGAAGACGTGTTTTTCTACCAAATGAGTATGTTTTCCATGAACAATAATTGAATTTACAAGGGTACCGAAGATCGATGAGAAAAATTCGTGCTACTTAAGTAGTCATCTTTACAGAGCGTAGTTTTCGCATACGGCCGAAAAGAAGTTCATTCAAAAGCCGGCATCCTGAAGTAACTGCATTATTATGGGATTATGCTGCATGGTGATTAATATTACAACCCTACTCAAGTAACCTTTCGAGTCAAAAACGCATTTCAGAATTTCTGTTAACATTTCATGAGTTAGCACATCCACTGTATTTAACAACTCGAAGCTGATAAAGGGGCTCTGGTTTCAATACAGCTTCTTAAAATTGCTTTTAACAATACAAGCTGAGGCGAATTTTGAAAGTAATTAATCAAAGCCACTGTTAGAATGTCTGTGCATTTTGTGGTGACGAGAAGATCACGAGGCTTATTAATCACTAAAACACGGTGGATGATTGTACATCTACTTTTCTTCAGGATGTTCGCAGAAACCCAAGAAAGACCGGACCCCCTTCTCCCCGTTAGCGCGTGTACAGGTAGCCGTGATACCAGCCTGGTTGCAGTTTGACTGATGTTAGTGTGATTGCTAGCATAAATCGTGAATTGTAATACGTAATATCGGATTGTTCACCGGCGTTTGCTTGATCTCTAACCTATGTGATGCAGTTGCTCACCGTGACGCTTGATCCTGCTGCAATGGGCATTTCTGACGCTTGACAAAATATGCCTAAGTCTGACTGGTTTTTGGATTCAGACCTCTGCCCTTGAACACGAAAGTGCCGACTTATGAAAACTTAGAACTGACAATTATTCTGGAGTTGGTCTTGCGGACAACTATTTCCACCCAGCCATTCATGTGTGCTGCTGCCTGTTGTTTTATTTCCGTCAGACAGCACTTTAGTGTAGTGCCGTTTTCACGCTCCGGCGTGACTGCTGTGGTGCCCGACAATCTGACTTGTATTTTTGTCTTGCTGTATTATCTCCTCTTTGCATTTGCGACTTATTGTGCCTCCAACGAGACCATTAGAGGAAAAGTCCGTTATGCGCCATCTTTCGCGTTGAACTGAATGTCTGGGAAAACGTTTTTTTTGGAGAAATAGTCAAAATTCTGCTGCACTGAACTGCTGCCATGGCGTTGTTAGCGTTAAATCTCCAAAAATTCTTATCATAATTTCTGGAATTTATTCTCTCCTTTTGAAAGGATCGTTTGCGGAGCATGTCGAAGTAGTGTTAACCGTCTGCTCATGTGAGCGCGTCTAGACATGAAGGCAACTACTGGTACACAGGCCTTTTAACTGTTGGACAATCCGTAGAAGCTGACGACTGGTGTGCTGAACTGATATATCCCTAATTAGTCATCAAAAGAGACATTCCTTCTGTACCTCAACTCACTTAAAAACTTCGTTAAGCTGTCTTGTCTTTGGACAGCAATGTATGTCTGCCAGCCTTCGCATTTGCGAGTCATTTACCAACACCGCCTGTCGTTCAGCTTTGAGAGGGGGGAGAGAACGAGGAGAATGCACGTTCCCCTAAAAAACCAGCTAGCCATGAAGAATTTAGCTAAAAATTAGTTTGCAGAGAAATGACTGGAATGCGTCAACGACTGGGCGCTACTGTCATGTGTGCCTGTTTCTGCGTATAAACTACGTATCACCTCTCACAAGACTGGCAAATTCCAGACACTGCATGTAACCCACTTTTGATCCTCAAGTATGCTAAAGTCTTCCTACAGGCGGGCACGCCACCCCGTCGGGGTACTTGCAGCTCATGCGTCGCTGTGCCTCGAGATAAGTTTCCCCAGTTGTTGTGCCTTTGCGTAAATGTCAGAAATACCTTGACGCGTTTGGGAGAGCCTAAGGGGTATGCAAATAAACAGAGTCATCAGTCCTGATTCGCGGAGTCGAGACTTCTGGTGGATAGAGTTTTTGCGCATCACTAATTTGCCAAAGTTAGAAGGATGGAAAATATTAATGCCCAACATATGTCCGTGCTGCCAGCGAAGCTTCAGGACTCGCACTTCTCCTGGATGACATCTTCGCATCCTTCGAGCTATTAACAGAAACGTGGTCTTGAAGCAGGGGACACGATCGCTGGAACAAGGGCTTTATTAGCCTGACGTTTCGGATTCCTGCTGGAACCCATCATCAGAGACAAAAACAGATACGGGTGGGTCATGCATAAGGGGCATCACACCACGGGCACCGATCCCTGATGAAGGGGGGGGGGCGTGAACATTCATAGGTATGCGGTAGCATGACAACTGCATCCCATAAAGACTGCAGCCCCTTATGCATGAACCACCCGTATCTGCTTTTGTCTCTGATGATGGGTTCGCGCAGGAATCCGAAACGTCAGGCTAATAAAGCTCTTGTCCCAGCGATCGCGTCTCCTTCATCAAGACCGCTTCCTGGAACCGATCTCTTCACTTCTATTAAAAACGTGGTTATTATGCTGAGTAACACTACCCCCATCACTCTAGCTCGGAAATTACGCAGCGTCCTAGAATTATAGACTGCAGTGCAACGAGCACTCCAGTTTATCTGCCCATGAGCAATCATTTGCAGCTTCAACATCGGATGGAGCGTTCGATGTGGTGACTACGACCTGTGTGCCTGACTGCCGTTTACTTTGCTTTGCCGTCTGCCAAGGTTCCCCTCCTGCACTTGTCTCACGAACTCGACGTCTAAGTAGACTATTCACCCTCAGTGGTTGTTTCTGCCCAATGGTAACGTCTACAATAACGTCGCCCCCCCCTGCTCTGACGCCTATCGTTAAAACTCATTGTCGGCACGAAAAAACCAAAAGCTGGTCACGAGGTTAGTCGCGGATAACGACGGGCGACCTGTCGCATTTTCTCGGTAGAGAAATTGGAGTTTAGGATTTTTGCATGAAGTGAACGGTTTTCCTGAAAAAAGTATGAATTTCTTATAAAACATCAGTTTTCAAGAGGGTCGAAGTCATGCCTGTCAGTCTGCCTTACTCAAACAATGCCCACTGTGTGAATAACATTTAGAAAGGAGCTTCCATATATTAATATACTTTTTCATCGTAAAGCTGCTAGATGTTGAAATGCACGGTATTTTCCCAAGGCTACCTTAAAGTTGGCCCATGGTAGAAATACTTTTCATACTTTTCGCAGCCGGCTATATTTGTGTCCGTGAGAATATGAACGGTCTTGAAGTACCCCTAATTTGTCCTGTGATATTGCCTCTTCTTTCATGACATCGATCAGCGTGTTCGAGTGCGGTGGATGCAACGCAAGTCACCTGCCTGCCCTCACCTCTTTGTGGAGCGCAGAGTGGACATCGTCGGTCACGACAGTCGAAGTGTCAAGAGGCGCGTGTGAAAACCTGGTGTGATGTGCGGGTAGTCGGGCTATTTAATACCATCAAAGACTTGCTCTCCGCATCAGATGGTCGATCAGGCCGGATAGTGGACTGGAACCTCAGAGAGAGAGAGAGAGAGAGAGAGAGAGCGAGAGAGAGAGAGAGAGCACATTTCCAGAGCACATTTCGCACTGCAAACAATCTAATGTGTTTTCAAACAATCTGGGCACGCCAAGAGCCATGGCTTGTAAGGTTGCCAACTGACGGGAGAGCCTTGTCCTGGAAGGACCGAGAGTCAGGCTACAATGGCTATTTTTTCATGTGACCTCTATGACACTCTCAATCATCTGGGATCCGGGCCGCCCACCCCTATACTGGTTTTGTGCAAACTCGATCCCCATTTCGCGGACCAGGTCGTGTGTGGCGAGTGTAGACGGATCGTCTTGTCTTATCTGCCATTTGGCCCGACTCCGCCTCTGGTCTTCCTGACCCTGTCTTGACACCGGACTCATGTGGATGGCGGAGGTGAGAGAGCAGAATGCAACGCAAGCACAGCATCACTATAAACTGTCTCTGTACCAGTCATGCTGTGGGAGATTCGGTGGACATCATCGTTAACGACAGTCGAACTGTCGAGAGGCGTCATTCTGCTGTGTTATATGGTTCTTATTTCTCTTTCCTTAGCCTATTCTGACGAGTGGCTTTTGCTTTATTCTAGTCGTGAACCTTCTCCCAATATCGTCTCAGGCTTGGAGGATGCGGATCTAGAGAAACAAGGTAGGCTTTTAACTGATTGCCTTATCTGCTACGTTTTCGACACGGAAGAGTAACAGTGGGAAATATTAAGTAGTGTTAGTTTCCCAGCCACACCCAAAGGTACTGCCGCCACGTGGTCCAAGCTAGACGTCGCTGAAGCCTACTTTCATCGTCTGTAAACTCTGGACGCAATCTTACTACGGCTTCGCATCCTGGTGGATCTTTAAGGCGTATTCAACTATCGTTTTATAACTACTGTGTGCCTATCAGAATCATTTAAAATCCTTGCCTACTTTTCACTTTTAATTTACGTCATTCGGTTTGTTTAATTTATACAGCAACTTTTTTACGAGGTTGGAAATTTTTTGGCTTTGAACTCCTTGTGGAAGTACCGCACACAAGCCACTATTATAATTTATCCAGTAATCCTGGACGACGCACACTCTACTTAGCGGTGGAAAGTGCAAGGTCTTAGATCTAAGCCATTGCATGTTCTCGCCAACCACATCCATTTCACTACAGCAAAATGCGTATCCTGATCTTCCATTCTTACGAGTTTTCTGTTGTAGTCAACTTGTTACCACGGATACCTTTATCAACCCAGTTACTTTGTTCATTTATTGGTTGACTCGCGTTTCGTATTTGCCTATGTAAAGAGTTGTTGTTTCTGAAGTTTTGTACATGACAATCAGACGTAATGGCCCCTTCAGTTCCATAACTGAACTCCTCTACTGCGTATGTCGTTAAAACCAGCATCCAAAATCGTTTGTTTTCGTCCAGAACGTGGGGCTTTGCATAGACATTAGAAAAACATTTTCTAATTTTTGATTTCTAAAACCAGAAGGTTGATCTGAGTAAGTTGCTTATGCATATCCGATTATTTATCAGAATGTATAACTGAAAGTTCGTAGTCACTGCGTAACTCGACTTCACGAATTCGTCATCCGCTCCGTTACCAGAGTACGGTAGATGTGCTAACTCATGAAATTTTAACCGAAATCCTGAAATGCGTCTTCGACTCGAAAAGATTACTTAAGAAGGGTTGTAATATTAATCAGCCTGCAGCACAATCCAGTAGTAATTAAGTAACTCTAGATACCGACTTTCGAACGAATTTTTTTCTGGACGCCTGCAAAGACTATACTCCGTAAAAAACGACTACTTAAATTGTATCAATATTTCTTATCGATTTTCGATGCCTTTATAAATTCAAATATATTTCGTGGAAAACATGCATAAAAATATTCATGCTTTTACTCATTTTGCAGAAATTCACGTTTTTTTTCAAATTTTATACTTGAAAAAAGGGTATAATTCGGCTTTAAAAAACGTTTCCTATTCCCGTATTATTTTGAATCCGATCTGCCGTTACACTTGCGTTCAGAGTTTCAAAACTGCGAGCTGCATACCTTCCGTCTACGGAAAGACGTTTCTTCAAAATCCGACATCCTGATGTAACTGAATTTGCATGGGATTATGCTGCATGGTGATTAATATTACAAGTCTACTTAAGCAACCTTTTCGAGTCGAAGACGCACTTCAGGATTTCGATTAACATTCCATGAGTTAGCACATCTACTGTAACCTTACTCCCAATCAGTTAATGCCTTCCTTTTGCGTTTTACTGCTTGCAAGGCCGAAAGTCGGTAGTTTTATTGCATAACTTAACCTGTATCCGACCCGTAGTAACTCATATTAGTACTGGGAGACCAACCTGGTCTCAAAATACACAGAACCAGATAATGACTTTGTTTCGACCGTACATCTTTGACCATAGATCAGCATTACTGCATCGATGACCTGATGAGGACGGTACACCAAGCACTTCTGCCTGCGTTCACTCGATAGCCAAACGCAGCGCCTTCTATTTTATCAGTAGGGAGTTGCAAATCGGTCGCTGGACGCAGCAAACCCCAGATCGCTTTGACAAATTAAGACAATCGGCTGGCAGAAGGAAGTTTGCCATCTGGCTATGACCGCCTCTTGGCGGCATGCCATTTTACTAACAAAGCAAACAGTCGCAAGGAATTTTGGCGTGTGCACTGAACAGTCCAATACGTCATTTGCAATGGCGAGTATCATCTGAAAGCTGGAGGGCGAAAAAAGTGACGTTTTGTGCGCAGTCCGGAGTGCGGGTTGGGACGATTAGACAGTCTTTATTAGCACAACAACATACTTGGGTTTCCTCGGAATCCAGATGCCGCTGTTGCAAAAAAGCCCGCCAGCTTGCTCTCTCAGGACATTTCTGCTGTCCACTCAGAGTTTCCCATACGACGCGCACTTTTTGACCGCGTTCCTGGAATTCTTTTGCCTGCTTCGGTTCAGGCCTGTGCAGGGGGGGGCATAACCGAGGGGGCTTTAATAACTGCCTGGTAGTGCTCTTCTGCGGCATGACTTTGGGTTACTTGCGCCTTCCCAGACCCCATAGCCCATTATGAGGACGTCAACAAAGCATGTGATTTTTTGATTTTGCTGTCATGCTGAAGATAAGGAAGCGGCTTTTCGGAAATAAACCCGTCCCTGCCACCAAATAGTCAACTTTGGCAATTTTTACCAAGGCCATTTAAATGGTTACGCTGTAGTATCGCTTTGGAAGACTTTGCCCCACCTCCCCTAACCTGTGTTGCTTAGCGAACTTCCTAGTTAATTGGAGGTCATCTTAACTTGCAACTACTCTAAACGCTCGTATTTTCTAGACTCGCACGCTCTCAAGCCTGATCTCTAGGCATATGATAGAGCAATCTTCCCGTTTACTGGTACGAAGTCTTTAATAAGTACCAAATTTCCAAAAAGGGGTGTACTACCGTCAATTTGTTTTATACCTCCACTGGAAACTCAGAGTTGGGCACTAACGATTCCCGGAGAAGCGGCAAAGGCGAAAATTCCCGTCTCGGTTCTAGTTTAAAACACGATCTTACTTTGCCAGGGCCTCCCCGTTTCAAATGATTACTTCTAGCAACAGGCAGTCTTTTGTGTACTAAAAAACAACCCAGGAGATTTATCAGTCATCATCTCTATCCTTTACAGAAGTATAGAGGGGAATGAAGACTATAAGCTGTTTTTATTACTGTATAGCATGGAAACATGAAATTCAGCTGCCCTGGGACGGACTAAGACTGCCTCGCTCCTTAATTCACGCTGAATGTTCTACCTCTTAAACCTATCGAGGCATGTCTATCATCAACCTGAAGAATTGATATTCCCTCTTAACGACTTGTGACGCTAGTCTTATTTCCAGTCTAGTGTGCGAGTTCTATACTTTCAGCGTTTGGTAGTGGACGTTCTTTCTTTTCGTTGGATCAAACGCATAAAGTGCACCACGCATTATCTAACTCAAGTATCTGCCTTTCGCACACAGAGGTTTTTTTCGTTTCACTCTCGACGGCCAAACTGTCGGAACATTGGTAAATATCTTCGTCTCTCGAGTCCTAAAGAGGACCATCGGCTATTCGCACGGCCAACAGACACGCATCTGGTAGTTTTGACAGTAGAGCACCCCAGGCGACTTCGGCATCCCGTCCAGCCACACCAACTTTCTGCCTGCGTGGGTTTCGAATTTACCAAGTCTGTTGTAATAAATCGTTCTTGTAGCGCTGTCGGACATCGGAGTGTTCAGGGCATTTCTCACTCGGTGGATTGCTAACACCTTAGCATATTCGGCTGACTGTAGTTCTGCGCTTGAAAACAGAAGGAAACGACCATTCTTCGCTGATAAGGCACGCGTAAAAGGACCCTATTCCACCACATATATCAGCCACTTTGTCTGTCGTCGCAGAGTCGATGTTGGCTGATTTTCGTTGGGTTAAAAGAGTTCTAGCACTTTGCGGTAGAATAAGGCCACCCCAAGCTTCTGACAGAGTGCACACACCGTCACCATCAGTCTGCACGAATAGATCTGTCAATGCATTCCCGCACAACAAACGAACTTCATGCCAGCCTAGAATTACGAAAATAGCTGACTTCCTTCAAGAATCTCTACGACGTGTTTTCTCGTCACAGTGCAATTCCTAAAAACAAGCGGGCATTCTTAACTTGCTTTTTTACCTGACTTCGCATTATTAAACTTGCTCGATGGCATTCTATTTCATTCACACCGACTTGCTGGTTTCTTACAGCGGACACCAAACACCGGTGTCTTTTTCGTGATCTTGCACGTCTCTGGTTTCTCTGCCCAATTCTCATGATCCTCACTCCTGCGTCGCACCGCCCCAGAGTGCAGAAAACGACCTTCAATGACGACACGAGGATCAACACGGCGGAGGAGGATTGCGCCTCCAAGAGTAGGACTCTTTTACGCAATATCGGCGATGGTCTGGTTCAACTCTTTTCGCGCAAACTCTGGACTAATTGGGGGTTTCTACTCTTTATTGCCTGCAATGGACTGTGTGCTGCCGGTGTTGTCATTCCGTGGACATTTATCTACGACTACATCTATCAGATCTGGCTGGTTGGGGTTCCACCGGACAGTGTCAACTCCCAGGTTGATGCTCAGTTGGCTTGGTATCCATCGTTGATTGGCCTTGGCTCCTGTTGTGGTAGGTTTTTTATGCCTCCAAGTCTGCCATTTCCCTGTCTTTGGGCAGCATTGAGTATTTCGGTTGTCTTGCTATTTTCAGTTATTTATCCTGCCGTTGGCGTCCTTTTTTATTTTGGAAGAAAAATTCCTAATGACTGTGATAGCCAGCACTATGACAATGATCATGACTACTATCACCACAGTGATAGCAGTAGTAATTTAGCTGTGTGAACTAACTACCTCCCCAAAGCTGGCTGGTTGAAATTGTTGAGTAAGCAGTTGCCCTTGTGCGTTTCTCAGCTGCCCAATAGAAACACTTGACAAGTGGCTGCTGGGTCGTCTAGTGTTTACCCCGCCGCAGCTCTCGTTTCCGGTGGGAGAGTTCGATGTGACGGCTGATTCTATTCACACTAACAGGCACATTTCTTGGCTGTGAGCCTGTTGGTCCTCGAATTGCCGCTTAGCCAGACCTACTCTACCTTAAAATGCAGCTGTGCATCGTTGATCATCAGACTGGGTTTTGCTCTTAGCGGAGCCTTTGATATCGCAGGTTTTGGGGTGGGTCAATTCGCTTGCGCCAAAATTCAACCAATTCCTGCTTCATTGAAGACAAAAGTGCATTTTGAACAGCAGGGAAAGGTGTCAAGGCCAATGACTGTAAAGCTGCTGGGGTAGAAGGAAGAACCTGGGGACAGAATTATGCTTTTAGGCAGAGTACTGCTCCTTCCTGTGCCCGCTGCGTTTAATAATACCTCAGAGATCACTTAATGCCACGCGTGGGCGTGCAGTAGGTACCTCTCCCTGACATGGGCTGTATGGAGGTTGAGTCGTTCATGCATTCTTCCGATAAGATCGCAGCAGTAAACATGGGGGGAGGGAAGTAGTGGGAAAAACTAACGCTGTACAGTGATTTATAACTGCTCTTAGGACTGCTAGGTCTTCACCCCAGAAGGGATAGGCCTAAAGTTTAGCATTTTTGGCTTTTGACTACACAAACTACCTTTGAACCCGTGCTAGTGTGGAGGGAATTCCTCATTCTGGGGAGCTTATACTAGATGAACTTTGTGCATGCTGTTGTAGGACGTTTAATTGTGTCTCTTCCAGATACTAAGCAGTCACACTAGAGCTGGGACTGTGCTAGTTGCCACAGCGGCACTGAAAGAAATTAAAATAAGTCACCAGTTTCCTTTGGCGTGGGGGCGAAGAGGTAAGCTCAGTTGGCAAAACAGGAGGCCTAGTGTGGCGTTCATGGCTTTGATCTCCACTTTGGTTACCACCTTTTCCAATGCGTCACTTGCATTATTGCACAAGCCCTCATAACTCCATGTCGTGAGCTGTCCCACCTGCCCAACGCCCCCTTTGGCTCCATACACCTACAGGGATTGTTTCTAACCAATAGTAACCTTAACAAGAACAGCCCAACTGTCAGACACCACCCGTTACACTCACCCATCGCCCAAACCTCACACAGCCTAGCGACGATTATCATCATCGAGAACAATGAGCCGACTATAGTGTGGAGAAACGTGCGCGTGTTAGCTTATCCATAACTGTACCTACCCTGGTGCTGGGCACCTTGGTCTGAAGACGCTAACGTCCACAACGGACTCTACTGTAGATGTGCTGGACCAAAACAGGGGCCATGCTGGGCCATGGCCAGTGTTTATCGGGAAGTGTGAGTCGGATAATGGGGAAATCTATCCCCAGGACACTTTTTGATCTCTCCCTTTTTACCCGAGGAGCATGGATACTCGTTGCTGACTAGGCTTATCTCAAATGTAAAGTTCGATTGTTCGGGTTAACATGTTTCATTACGTGGACATTGCTACTGGAATAAATTTAGTACCTGCGTGAACGTCTTTGCTGTATAGTACAGCCTTTATCAACACCTACTGATCAGCGCATAGATCCTTCAACATTGGGGGCAACAACTTTATTAAAGCTGATGCTAGTCAGGATCAGAAGACGAAGATGCGAACAAGAAATTTATTAGTTTGACGCTTCGGATTCTCACTCGAATGCATCATCAGAGACATTAGCAGATAAAGATCAGGATGAAATTAACAGCACTGAACATGACCCACTTTAGTTAGTTAAACGTTTATTCTATCTCTAGGCCTGTTCTACTCAAAGTCTTCCCCTAAAGATACTTGGAGATCTATAGGGGGGCTATGTTGGTTTTTTGACATGTTTGTTTCAACTTCGCTATTTGAAGTGGAATGTTGCCTTTTTGTGCTTGTTTCGGGTCAACGAATTTTTCTTGGTCAAATCTCATGCCGGAAACCGGATCATATCGCTTAAATACAGCCAAGTGCAGTTACAAGTGTTTTAGCAAATGCACAATTTGCACCATAGGTCGTTTGGAATATTATCCGTGGGACCAACGGAGAGTACTATAGCATTAATTAGTCCTTCCAACGACCTCTTCTACTTCGATTGTTACAAGTTAGATTTCACGTCTTGTGGCGCGGCACATCGTAGGGGACCGAAACCCGCCATAACCGACGATCGCCCGATTGCGTTCGATCTTTGTATGGCGAATGGCGTGCTTTTCTACCCGGCGCTGTAGTTTATTCGGGAGAGGGGGGCGCCTTCTATTAAACTTCCTTCCCTAAATGTGCCTTGAAAGAGCAACGAGACTCTGCTCTTGAGCGGTGACTAGTCACCGCGGGCGTCAGACGTAGACAATTCGATCTACAGTAGGTAGGCTAACTCATGAAATGCCAACCAAAAGTGCGTTTTTGTTTCGAAAAGATTAATTAAGTAGGGTTGTAAAACTAATCAGTCTGCAGTATAATTCCATAATAATTCAGTTACCTCAGAATGGTGGTTTTCCAACGAACTTCCTTTTGGCCGCATACAAAAACTATACTCTGTAAAAAATGATTAGTTAAGTAGCATTCATTTTGCTCATTGATTTTCAATACCCTTAAATACTCAATTATATTTCATGCAAATCATGAATAAAAACATTAATTTCTTTACCTACTCGGTGGAAAATTACGTATTCTTTCAATTTAATGCTCGAAAGAAGGATATAATTCGGTTTTAAAAAGTTTCTAATTGTGAGATTTTCTTAATTCCGTGAAATGGCCGTTCATAAAACGTCATGTCTCTGCATTTACCAATGTGGCTTGTAAAGTCAACATTATGACTCAAATCCACTGTTAGATTTTGTGAACCCTATATGGTCTCCTCCTAATACCGTAGAGAAGTGTATGGTTTTCCGTACGCGGAAAATACACGGCCAGTAGTTTGCAAACCCTTAATGCAAGTGTAACGACAGGTCGGTATTCAAAATTATTCTGGAATTGGGAAAGTTTTTAAAACCGAATAATACCCTTCGGATATCAAATTGAAAGAAGACGCAATTTTACTACCGAATAAGCAAGAAAATGAATATTTTGTACATTTTTTTCCACGAAATATAGTTGAATTCTTAAGGGCATCAAAAATCAATGATAAAAACGCATCCTACTTAAGTAGCATTTTTTTCAGATGCAGCCGGAAAGTTCGTTCGAAAGCTGACATCTTAAGGTAGCTGAATTATTATAGAACTATGATGCTCGATGATTAGTTCTACAACACTACTTAATTATTCTCTTCGAGACAAAAACGCATTTCGGAATTTCGGTCCGGTCTTCGCGTACCACAACACGACCAGTTCCCCTTTGCTAGGGAAGCCGGACTTCACACGCAACCTCGCTGCATAAAGGCGGGGCTTTCCACTCATCTCTAACATGTTTTTTTATCCCCAGTTGAATTTATTGCCGGGCGGGGGGTGTGGCGACTGCGCTCAGTACATCTTTCCGGAGCCACATAGTAGAGCTGGGCGCCAGGTGGGAGCCGACTGGAATGCCAACCTCGTACAGTCGAACAGGCGGTTTGACCGTAAATCTATCCGAAATGACCACTCTTTCGTGGACACCGCCATTGGCACATACGATTCCAGACACTCATGGCTCCTGCGGGCAACTTTGCCCATGCTCAACTGGCCCGTAGGTTCTTTTGGCGTTTAGCCACTGTTGGCGTAGTACATCCATTAAGAGTGCACTTTAGACAGGCCCACAACTGTTAAAACCTCACTGCTTAACCTCGAGTGCACTTTAAGCCACACATACGGCTCCGTAGTGGTTGCAATATGACGGAGACTCTGGACGCGTATTTCGGAACACTGTGCTTCATCATGTTTTGGACGATGAGCTACTTTCCATCTTTATGTGATAGTCTGCGCAGGGTTTGTTCACATTGCGACTAGGAATGCAGGTGAGTTATCAACCACTTGAGGGTCATTCGTGCCACTTTTATACGCGGGTGTCGACATAATCACACGTACCTAAGAAAGTGCAGACAGTGAATACTGACAAAGACAAGGGAGACTGGGATGGCCACTTCTGCCTTATTAACCGCCGTCTGTCAGTCTCATGTTGGCGTGACCTCAGTCGCGAACCCGCGTCATCGAGCGCTTTTAAATCCAATGCACTGCTATGGAGTCGCAGGCCCGTTTTCCTATTGGTCGCTACCAGAAATATTAACCATCTTGAACAGGTTAATGATACTACCACTTACAGCCTCGGGTGCGCGTGGAACTAGTAGGGCAAACTTGTGAATGAATGCTCATCGAGGCTAAAAGGACGTTTATTGTAAGGCACTTCCTCGGTTACCAAAATATAAATTTTGAGAGTTTAGAATACTCTAAATAATGGGAAATCTAGGGTATTTGTTTTGATTACTGACCCGTTGCATCCGGACCGCCTAGTCTGTCAGTACGTTAGTATGACTGAAATGATTGTTTAATTGTTTAATTTTTTTCAAAGTTACTCTATGGTCTCCACGCGATTCTCCCAAAACCTGCCCCGAATGCAGCTCAGACCTTTTTATTTATTTTACTATCGCTTTTGAGCTTTATCATACCTTTGCACGAGAATAACCATGAACGTCCTTACTTTATCTCTTTACCAAAATCAGAACTACTGAATCACGCAGTCCTAAATTTCCACGTGCCTGTTTCCTACGTTTGGAGCTTAAGGTTTTTCAAAGCGCAATGCGACTATGAAAATTGAATTTGCATGTTAGATGGTGCCCTTTCCTTCTCATTTTAAAATGATTATTCTTGATGAACAAACATACAGTAGATGTGCTAACTCATGAAATGTCAACCAAAATTTCGAAATGTGTTTTCGTTTCGAAAAGATAAATTAAGTAGTGTTGTAAAACTAATCATGATGCAGCATACATCTATAATGATCCCGTTACCTCAGAGTGTCGACTTTCGAGAGAACTTATTATCGGCTGCATGAAAGATCTATACTCTGCAAAAAATGACTACTTAAGTAATATGCGATTTTCTCATTGATTTTCGATGCCCTTGAAAATTCAATTATATTTCATGGAAAACATGCATAAAAATATTCATTCTTTTACTTATTCGGTAGAAAATCACGTCTTCTTCCAATCTCATACTCAAAAGAAGAGTATAATTCGGTTTTAAAAAACTTTTCTAAATCCCGAATAATTTTGAACCCGACCTGCGGTTACTCTTCCATTCAGGGTTTCAAAACTACAAGCTGTATATTTTCCGTGTACGGAAAACCATGCATTTCTCTACGGTGCTAAGAGGAGACCATGTGAGGTTCATAAAATTAAGCAGTGGATTTGAGCAATATTGTTAACTTCACAAGCCACATTCGTAAATGCATATACATGACGTTTCATGAACGGCCATATAACGGTATTAAAAAATCTTACAATTAGAAACTTTTTTAAAACCGAATTATACTCCTCTTTTGAGTATAAAATTGGAAGAAGACGGGATCTTCTACCGAATAAGTAAAAGAATGAATATTTTTATGCAGGTTTTCCATGAAATATAATTGAATTTTCAAGGGCATCGAAAAGCAATGAGAAAATTGCATACTCCGTAAGTAGTCATTTTTTGCAGAGTATAGATCTTTCATGCAGCCGAAAATAAATTCTTTCGAAAGCCGACACCCTGAGGTAACTGGATCATTAAAGATGTATGCTGCATCATGATTAGTTTTACAACGCTACTTAATTTATCTTTTCGAAACGAAAACACATTTCGAAATTTTGGTTGACATTTCATGAGGTAGCACATTTACTGTACTTACCCATACCCTGCTGATGGCCATCTCTCTCGTTTACATGCACCGAACCTTTCGTCCTTAGAGTTGATTGCTATTTATCTCCACGGTAGTTGTACGATAGCTGAAGAACGTGGCAGCATTGTTACAGTGGGAAGCAATCACTAAATCCGCGCTACATGGAGATCGCTTCTTCTCTCTCTTCTCCTATCCTGTGCTGATAGCGGAATGCAGTCAAACTGACGGCAACCGTGGTGCATAAAGCCTCCACACAACACGTGTCATGCACCTGTTTTGCCTGGTTAAGTTCCAACACTAAGACGGAGAAAATTTTTTCGACCCGCTTCACCCTTAACCCCCAACAAAAACAGTAGATCGGGCCGAACATATTCCTCCTTGCGCGACAGGGATGAGGAACCATCACTTATTTCTTGCAACTGATAGAATTTGCGAGATAACTCAATAGTGGAGCACACCGAAATAGGAATGGATGTCGACAGGTCATTTCGGACTAATGACGAACATTTTTTACCTACCTTAACTCTCTGCTTTTCATAGTTTCCGTTAAGAACTTGTTATTCATAGCAGAAATCTTCGATAGTGGCGCATTAATGCATGAAGGGCCGGTTTCTGGCAAACGTACAGTAGGTGGGCTAACTCATGAAATGCCAACAGAAATTACGAACTGCGCTTTCGTTTCGAAAAGATTAATTAAATAGGGGTGTAAAACTAATCATCGTGCAGCATAATTTTATGATGATCCAGTTACCTCAGGGGGTCCGCTTTCGAATGAACTTCTTTCCGACTACATGCAGTAACTATACCGTGCACAAAATGACTAATTAAGTAGCATGAATTTTTCGAATTTCTTTTCGATGGCCTTAAAAATTCAATTATATGTGTTATGTATATTATATATATATATATTATATTTCATGGAAAACATGTATGACATATTAATTCATTTACTTATTCGCTAGAAAATCACATCCTCTTTCGATTTTATACCCGAATTTTAAATCCGACCTGTTGTTACACTTGCACTCAGGGTTTACAAACTGCGAACCGTATATTTTTCGCATACGGAAAACCATACACTTTTCTACGGTATTAAGAGGAGACCATATAGGGTTCACAAAATCTAGCAGTGGATTCGAGCCATAATGTTGACTTTACAAGCCACATTGGTAAATGCAAAGACATGACGTTTTATGAACGGCCATTTCACGGAATGAAAAAAATCTCACAATTAGAAACTTTTTTAAACCGAATTATATCCTTCTTTCGTGTATGGGTACTAGATAAGCTATACCACTACAAGAGAAAAGGGTTTAGAAAGTTCGATAGTGCAAAAGGAGCGTGCCGGGGGTAGCTCATGGCAAAAACAATTTGGAGCAGAGGTAATCGTTGGTTTCCTACACGAAGCACGCAAAAGTTTCGTTCGTTGGAAACGCAGTCAGTCGTTTCTGCCTGGTATCTGAGTGTGAAAAATGCACGGTGTCGCCTTCCCTGAAGAAAATTGCACAACTCCTTGTCTCCATGACTAAACCCTCTGGCCCTCATAAAATGCTGAAGTAGATGGGCCACGCTGCACCTGCAAGCAGTGTGTCTAGGCTTGCGAATATCTGCCATAATTGTTATTATTAATAACCATAATGAGTACGTTTTATCCAAAGCACTTAATTCTCTCAAGTGCCGTGTTTTAACCACGCACATAATTTGTTTCGCGATGCCCGTTAAAGGTGAACTTATAAAAACCTTTTTTAGTCCAGCCCAGTTTGTTTGAGGGCAATGTAGGCGTGCACTTTGTGTATCTCTATTCTTTACACGCAGCAGAAGTATGTCAAGTATTTGACAAAAAAGGTAACATCAAAGAACTACGAAGGTAATATCAAAGACTGCACAGTTAGACAAAGTATTTCATGCGTTAGCAGCGTTGTAAGACCTTTACACACGTCTATATGTGATGAGGAAGGGCGACTATTATTACAGCCATCATTGACTCGTTTTACCAAAGTATCTAGCTCCCTCAAGTAGTGAGTTTTAACCACGCACATAATTAGTTGCGCGCTGACTGTAAAATGAACTTTTAGAGTTTAGATTCATCTTACAAGAGCCTGGTCACAACCTAAGTAACGCGATTAGCATTGGTGACTAGCCATACATCACCTACACTTCTCACGTAAGCAGAAGGTGTACTTTTCAACCCGTTTCTCGTGTGGCTCCTTAGTCGCATTTGAGATCCGGGCCTTCCATCCCTTTGTGCGTGAAATCCTAGTGTGTGCATTTGGGGGTCAGTTCAGGCATGTTTCTCACGGAGACGGGTTATATAGGTCTGTCAGCTACTCCGGTCACTTCCGGCGTCAGATATCCGACCGGTTCGGACAAATGACTGGTGCTTAGAAGTGGGACAACTTGGACATCGCAGTCAGTCCAATGTGGGTTTGTGTGGGGTAGCAGACTGGTGGACTTAGAGTAAGGCTGCAATGTCTTCTTAATGTGGCCTCTACGGCACTCCCACCTAGCGGGATGCGAGCTGGTTGTGGCGGCAGGCATAGGAGCGACTTCGGCTGCGCCAACCGCCTGCGTCCCCATCCCAAGACCGGTCTTAGTGACTTGGTCATGATACCGGCCGCAGGTGGAGGATGAGAAGAAAGTGTGATAGATGCTACGCAAGTCACCGTCCCTGATCTCACTCCGCTGTGGAGTACACGGTGGACATCGTCGAAATCGACAGTCGAGTTGCCAAAGTAACTTTTATAGAAGTCGCGGGATTTTCTATAGAAAGAAGTTGTGTGGCGCCCCTCTGTCCCCCAGATGAAGAGTTACTGTCTTTTTCACTTTCTGCGGACAGTGTTTTCCAGTTCTATCTCACTTATCCTACCCTCTGCCTGAAATCGGGAACTTTAAGTATGTGGGAATTCTCCTAAGAAACTCCAGTAATTCAGTCATGCGGCTAAACACTACCCTTTTCCCCCTGGACTTACAAGGCCGGTGCTCCCTTCATCCACATATTTCACACTGAGTCGCACTTCAATTTATACTCCCAATGGTGATAGATGTTCGGAAACGATTGTTTACTGAATATGACTTATTTCGTGCCATCTTAACATTCCCTTTAAAAGTGTTTCGAAGTTTGCTAAAACGCCTCCATGTCTTGGCGAAACTCATAAACACGAAAATGCCATGCTAAGAGGTCATTTTCAAACAGCTGTTACTTGGGTTCCCCTCGCTGTGGTCATAAGATGCAGCCTCCAATAATCCCAATGGGAGGGCCGCACTCTAACCTGCCTGTCCGCCAGCAGTCCGCGACACCGTTCACTGTGAGGCAAAGAATCTGATTAGAACCATGGTCTGTGAGCCCAGTCACGCTTCCAAGTCCTCGCCCCTCCCACGACACTTTACTCGTTTCTGGTCCGTGTCGCGCGATGCTATGTACCACTCATGGCCAAAGGAAATGCTTGCGCGGAAAGAATATACAAATTCGGGTGTTTTTCTTGAATTCTCGCCAATCGTCAGCGCGCATTAGTTTTTTGTTACTTTTTTTAAAAATGTTCTAGCCCGTTCTGTATAGAGCAAGCCGGACCAATCGTTTCATTATTTCACGCAACGATACGGGCGAACTCTTAACTAAGTTATTTACTATCTGTAATCCTCTTGCACTACTGCGATTCCGACATTGAATCTAATGAATCAAAAGTCACGAAGGTCCAGCCTTCTTTGAGAAGTTTTAAGCGATAAGGACACATGCACCAGAATGGCCATTTCCGGGTTATTTGTCGTCATCAGCCAGTGGCATAGCATTTTCAATCTGTATGCCCACGATTCGAAGCCACAGTCAATTGTTCATCGTTCGATGCTGTCATCGACGGTTCACCTGTCGATTTCGGTGATATCTACCGTGTGCTCCACAAGAGGCTGAGAACGGGGACGGTAACATGCGTGTGAACTAGTTTACAATAACAATTGGCCAGTGCAGCGTCTACCGCACTCTCTCCTACTTCACCTGGGCCCGGTGTCATGGCCAAGTCAAGAAGACCGGAAGTGGGAGAAGCCGCAGGTGGCTACCACGGCGAACCCAGGCGTATCACCACATCCCCTTATCCACAAATTACACTTGATCAGCTCGGCTCTGATCCCAATTGGCGCGACATGCACCTGCACATGGGCGTGCCACAGCACCCCGAATTTTGACATTTTCAATGAGTGCAAATTTCCGATGATGCCTGCCAGAATTCGATGCAGCTCCCGTGTTGTTCCAACGCATCAACCGCATGGTCCGCTTTAAGGGCACATCGAGCCTCTCACCAGTGCAGTAACGGCCTTGCGTCGTGTCGGCTAAGCTGGAGAGAGTTTCCAGTCACATGGGAGTGGGGTGCACCTTTCTGCCGTTACCGCGGAACGGAAGTGAGCTCTTCCACTTTGCCTGATTTTCGACCAGATTTGGAAGAGGCATGTTTTTCTGTTACATTAACCATTCTTCAGCATAAATACACACATCTTTCATTAAATGGTACTCAGAAAGTTGGGCGCTCCCCCCAAAATACTGAGTAAATTCAAGATCCATCAAGTACCGTGCCGCCTTAGGCAGCCGTACTGGCGTACACGCAGGCTGGCCCGAAAATGTGGCCTGACGTAATCCAGTGCCACGGCTAGATATGTACGATTAGGACACAATAAATTTCAAGTTTGATCTTTTGTGCGCAATTCCTGGCCATAAAAGGTATTTTTTTCATTGCTTCTATAGTGAACTCTAAGAACCGCGGTTTTCCAACTGGGTTTTTGGGGCACCCGTCAAAGCCCCCCACCCCACTACGCGTTTCTGTGTCCGTTTGCCCGAGGGCTATTTTTGAGTTCGTCGTAGGCGTTTCTGCGCGGAACATTTGCCCCATGAGACTATCCGCAGTCGCATGTTTGCCGGCATTAAACGTATGGCCCTCGGCGATATCGATATCAATACACATTTAGAAGCTAACGCTCGTTACCTTTCATCTTCGGGTTCTGAGAATCTGCTCCTTCTTCCGCCTCATGTGATAGAACGCGTCTACTGCGCAGCAGTTAGAGCCACATTTACAGCATACTATGCATGCGATGCCACAACCACCGCCCATCTTGCGCATTTACGAGTGCGGGGGCGTAGCATACTGGACCGCTGAAACGGGTCTCAGCAGCATGCAAGGTTTTGGACAGAACTGGTCGACGACAGAAGGCAACTGCGCCCGACTCAGGCAAAGACTTTTAAACCCTTTTTACCTTGTCTCATAAGCTGGCGTCTGGTGAACACAATCCTTGTTTCAGTGATCAAATCTCCTTTAGCGTTGTTTCTTGGGACTCGCTTTTTCGCCTGTATCAGCACTTTTTGCGTTGTCATAGTTAAAACCACGGTTTTCCCGACGGTGTAATAGCGACTAGCATTGCGTACGGTACTGGGAAAATTGTGTGACTTCTGGCTCCCGAGGAACCAAAAAAGTTAGAAGTTAAGTGAGTTTGTAAACGTGGGCCATCTGACAGGTGAGATTAAATCCAGGTCTACGCACAGAGCCCAACCTACCGGCATCGGCACTTGGTTGAAAGGCACTTAGGCATCTAAGGGTTCGTATAGGCATTAGTCACCGTAAAGACCGTATTAAGAAGGAGCCATTGCATACTACTCCTTGACCTAGAGGAAAACCGAATAATCCCGTCATGTACAACCCCCCTGCCACGACATTTAACTTATTCTAATGCTATTAAAGCTTGACAGTTTTTGTAGAGACCAATACGCGTGTGATCCGCTCTTGTTTGACCTAATTTTCTTCGTTCTCCCGTCATATGCCAGTGGCATGTTCAAGTCAGGCCAACTAGAGATGGGGTCGGGCTTGCTTGCTGACATGTCCTAGGGCCTCCATCTAAGGCGTCCCACACGCCTACTTTACTCTATTTCAATTCAACGCAACGAAATTGCCCTTCATTACTTTCAACTGGTCGGATTGGTTATCCTCCTTTCGTCCTTCCCCCGCCCCTTCCTCCTCCTCCTCTCCCTCTTTCCGTTTCATTCCACTTTTTTCGATTTTTCTTCCTCTCGGTGCCATCTAACCCCGCCAACCCATAGAGCTAAGCCTGGTTGCATTCACTTACCTGCTCTTGTTTATATCCGCTCGGGATGGATTGTACATCTAAAAGTTCGCCTGATAAGCGACCTGGTTAAGCGACCTCCGAGTTCATTCTGTTTGCACAGGGCCAGTAACTAGTGCACATTGAGCAAAACCAAAAATTCCACAGAAAGAAGGCGCCCAAAGTTTACGCCACTGGGATCCCGTTTCTGTGCACACTGACCTGTAATTGCTTGGCTTACCTTGCCTTTTCACACGAACTTAACAGGCCTATTGTCTTTTTATATGCTACTTCAACCTCTATAACCAAAAGTCTTACAGCTAAAGGTATGCTGGATGAAATCATTTAATAAACCAATCATGACGAGATCCCGTAAAATTAGGTTCATTTGCACCAGAGCGTTAACCATCTAAATTTATGCGCAGAAAAAGCCTCGATTCCGCCTTCTAAAATCTTAAGCTGTATCCTGAAGTGTGCACAATACGTTGTTTTCTTTTTTCAAAGTACACCAAGCATCTTGATAGTTTGCCTTTAGTTTAGTGCACATAATGTTGTTTGGACGAATGCATACATCCGTCCTGCTCTCTCCTCTCCTAAGAAGACGAAGTAATCACTGCGTGCATTTGCTGTTTAGGGAGGCCTTGATCGCGCATACCGTTGCTTCGGACTTTTCTCTTCTCCGACTAAATGCATTTCTGAGATTTGGACATTTTTGTTCTTGTTGCTTAGTCAACCACCCGTCTGTTTATTACGCCTGCCCATACGCTGCTAACACACATCTCCTAGATACCATGTACTTTTTTAAACCACTCGAAAAAGACATTGTTTTCGTTGTTCAAGGCCCTTTTCGAATCCGCCTGTCACCTTCGCGATGGGCGAACCGCTGACGGGTTTGCCAATGCCGTGTCCTTTTAAATAGCCACCTTCGGAGAATCCTGTACAATTTGCATTGTTACCGTGGGCTTACCTCCATTTTTTTCCAGAAAACACCCGTTGTGATCACGCTTAAAGTTACTAAAGCACAGACGTTTTGCGATGTTTTCTTCTCGCTGTCTGGTAAACATCACGCGATATTTTTTGGTCACCATCTGCGTTTTATAGGGCAGGAAACTTTTTGTTGAATCTTCCTCACTTTATTTACTCTGGTCCTCATCACATCCGTCCTGCCTGCAGATGGAGTCGATATGCTGTCAGAAAACCTCTTTTTCCTATCTGTTCGTTCGGAAGTCACAGAGACTTGTACTGCGAGGAGTTCTAAGTAAGTGTCGGAATCTCCAGTGTTTGTGTTGTAAACGTAAACTTAACTCACATGTGACAGTCTAGTCGAACCACACAGAACCACCATATGGTCTGGTATAAATAGACCACGGAAGGCGCTTGACGATCAAAGTTCCTATGGTACAGAACCGTTGCCGAGTAAGCCAGCAGGCTCCGCGAATAGTTATTTTTGGCGCATTCGTCGTCAACAAGCATTTTGGACTCCCGTCGAGACACCCGACATTTGAATCGGAGGCTGTGTTAGTTATCGAGCGTTTTGCAACTCGAGTTCCGTGCCAGAAATGGCTACTTCACTCCATCTTTGAAATGCCGGCAATCCTTCTCTTTCAGCGCTTGCTCGTCGCTGCACGGTAGTCGCCTAGAGTTCTAGACCCGAAGAAACAGAAATGCCCGTTCCCACCTAACAGTAATCGTGATTCAGTGATAGCCACTCTAGTACGCCTTTAAGTTCCTGTTGTCGACTGTCTGACCTGTATACATGATGGCAGCATTCTTATGCATCAAAGGAAGACAGTCGGCTTTACAACTAGCAGATTCTGAACGGAAGAGTATCTGTTTACGCTGGCCAATACTAACTAACAACCGGGCCTGATTCGCAGTTTCGAGTGCAGTTTGGACAAGTGACAGTCATCGTTCAAGTACGCGTTGAAAGTTATGTTAGCTTTAATGGGCTCGTCGATATTGTTTACTTGAACGGCAGTCTTCACTCCAATTTCCATACGGTAAGTTTGGTTGTTTTTTTACAAGGTCCCTCGAATATTTACTCATCGTAATAGGCCGTATGTTATAGACTATCTCGTTTTCCTATGGTAAGTTGTCGCAATTTGAGATAAGATTATTCTCGAGTACCAAAACGGCGGATGTGTTCCATGGATTTGCAACATGTTCCGTTCACAGTCTTTAAGCACTGCAAATTTCTTCAAAAGTGTGCTTTTAAAAGCAGTTTTCCGAACTAAGACCTTCGAACTTAGAACAAAATGCTCAGCGGATACTAATAGCTGCCTCACGATGACCGAATCAATTTTCTGCTTCAGCAATGTCTGATAGTAAGAATCCACTTTCAGAAATTAGTTTTTTGATAATATGGTTAGATCTTTTTAAAACGACTCTGTTCCCTATGAGCTTCATCGCGCAAATTGAATTTGTGAATATCATTTGCAAGAAACCCTACGTACGTCATGTATTATTGATCAAAATGCTGGTAACACCCCTCCCCCTGCTCACTGCACGCCAAAAATATTGCCTAGATATCGTACGTGCCTCTACAGTACTAATTGATGTTATTTTTAGACATTCTAACAGGTCCTGCCAACATGCATCTCTACTCAATTACACATGGCCGTTAAGTGCGCATGTGTAGTCTAATTGCAGGAGAGAATGCGGATGTTCCGTTTTGCTCTGATTGATTTCTTATCACTTTGCGATCGCTCACGAGTGCTTTTGTTCAGGCTCGCGAGGTCTAATGGACTGCCGGAAGGCACAAATCGGTGTTCGCTATTCTTGTGGAACTCAAAATATCGACGCAATGGGACGTGAACTCGTAATTCGAGTGTTAGAACGTCGGTTCAATCACAAACCAAGTCTTCGTTCAAACCCCCTGTCTGCCCCAGCCAGCGGAGTAGTCAAAAATGTTCATTCCAATCTCCATCCTAGGTGTTCATAAAGTTACCAGACTGTTTTAGGACATAACATAGCGAATCAGTCTATGCATTTACCGGCAGGTTTACTGTTGCAGTGGGTAAGTCACATTGTGGAGGCTTATTCCGTAGATGGCTACGATTTGCATACTCCGTTCTTAGTGTTAGCGAAGTCGATTATAGATAGACGGGAAGGAGAGTCTACGGTTCGATCGATTTTAGTTGTTTTCTGCTGACGAGAACCATTTAGTGCGGGCATCCTCTGCAATTAAATAAGTTCTGCCCTTCTCGGCTTTATTTTCGTGTGTTTATTTGACAGCACGCGTTCTGTTCACATTTACCCTCCCTAGGCTTCTCCTATGACCGCTTTATTTCAGTGCATGTTTTTTGCATCCCTTTATTTCAAAACAGGCCAAATACTGGTTGGGATTATTGCCTCCAACATCAAAAAGGAGTCCTCCAGAACCAGAATCTCGATTCACTCCGGCGATGTTGGTGCTGTTGTTGTTGCAGAGGCCTCTCGCAACACCTGTTGCCGTTGGTTCCGAAGCCTAAGCAGTATTCGTCTTCTCTTCGCCTCTATCTGCCTCTTGAACGGTGTTGTTACCATCGGATTCGCCTATGCACCCATCCCTTCTGCCCTAGACATCGGAAGCGAAGACTTGCTCATTCTCAGCACTGGCCAGGGCCGCGTTCTTGCGTTTGTCTCCTTCCTGGTGGGCGTTAGCGATGGCGGCTTCATGACCATGTTGGGCTTGATGCTGGAGAATGAAGTAGACACTCAGTACTTCCCCGCCGCTCTAGGCATTTGTCTTTGTGTTACTGGAGCCTTCAATTTCGTCGGCACTGTAGTTGGTGGTGAGTGCTTCTCTGAATTAGCTACGCCCTTCCTCGTCTTTCTATTCGAATTCTTACTGCATATCCTTTGATCCTTTGTGATGGCTATCTTGGATAGAAATTTATCTAAGGGATCCCTGTTTATCGGATCGATTTTTTTGTAAAAGGACGGTCGGCAGGCAAGTGTCACTTCACAGAAGATGTATCTCAGGCCATTAAAGCCCTGTCTTTCTTTACTGCTTTAGGATGTGACCCTCGCGACTCAGTTATTGCCAAAGTTAAAATGCCAATGAGACAGTCTTTGGGTTGTAAACTTTACCCGACAAACGGCGGGGGTTAATTCTTGCTCTGTAGACCCTGTGGGTTAGTTTACTGGATAAAAAACGTACGATCAAACAGTTCTCAGTTTCGAACCACTACCAATATGAAAGGATAGACGTTATAATGTGACCCGTGACAGGCGCCTGTCGGTCAACTGCTGAATTTCTTTTTGCTCTATTCATTTGGCACGGCCTAATTCTCGAATGGCGACATATGAGGAGGACCATAAGGTTAAGGTTAGAGACACAACCCGTCTGTTGTATCTTCCGACCAGGACTGCAACGCTGTTTTTGCCGGTGTTTCGTTTTTTCCTCATTGTCCGGCAAATTACGGCTTTTCTTCTCCACTCTTGCAACCATTTCGTTCATTTACATCGGTTTTCCTAGCCTCAAGTAGCGGCAATCTATTTAACAGGAAACGTATGCGGTTCCTATAATGTTTGGGGGCGTGAACGGTGTGCGTCAGTAGATCACTGCCTAAACAGAGCATTCAAGTTTTGCAACCTAAACCCTGAATTTTGGAATCTTCCTCAAGCCTGCCTCCGTTGCCAAACGTCTGGTGATGATAATTATATTTTCTCATTTTACGTGAAGGAGGCAACCAAGCATGATCAACTTTACGTGCACTCATGAATATATATGCTATCTCCCCGCTTCTGGATGCATCTTGACCGATTTCACGGCAACCGGAATGCTTTAAATTACGTTGTGGTCGGTTATGCGTTTAAGGAGCTATTGATTTCGTGTATGGGTTCTGTATAGACCGCAAATCTGCCTATCTTACAAAAGCAGGGAGCGCCTGAAGTTCTTAAACCTTTGGTCTACTTATAGGAGGCGTCTAGGTAGCGCAGAAGACATTAAGGATTTAATGGGCGTTTCTTGTCGACAAACCTCGGGCCGGACATGGAAATACGTATGCCACCGACTGCAGGTGACCCTTACGCTGAATTCCAAGGGGATACCTACTCCCCTGTCCTAACTATAACGCTAACACTAAGCCTCCTAACTCTAACACCAATCCTCACCCCCTGGAATTTAACCCAAGGGAATCTGCAATACGGATGCCTTTCATTTCCATATCCAAACCTGAAATTACTTGGCAGTCTGTTAAACACCCTAGACACCTTTTTGCCTAATGACTACAGGAACTGTAGGGCATCAGTTTGCGGAAATGGGAAGAACACACCCCAAAAAACACGTGTCTCTTAACCGCCGACCTCCGGAATGTGCGTCGAGTGCCCACTGGGGTGTGAACACCCACCCAACCCTAATGGTAGGCAGAGGAGGCGCAACAATTCCGTCCCCCCCCCGCCCCCCTCTGGGAACGCCTTTCTGCCCGTGTCAGTTCCATGCTTGCAGTAAAATTGTTTCTGGCCATTGCGCCCGGACTTGCTTTGACTTCCTTCCACAGCCGTGCAGTTAGACTGAATGTTAGCAGCCATTTACACTGTTTCGCACCTGAGAGCTGACATGCCCCATTTGGTCAGACAAAACAGATGCCCCTTTGTTATGCAAGTCATGTGCATGTGTGTGTGTGTGTGTGTGTGTGTGTGTGTGTGTGTGTGTGTGTGTGTGCATGGAATGGATGTCGATTTTTCGCCGAGCGTCTTCTTCCCCAACCGCCCCCCCACCCCCGGCTGTTCGTGTTTGCATTTGTGGACATTCTGTCACCCGTCTGAGCTTTGTATGTGTGTGTGCGCGTGTATCATTTTGACCTTCGCAGTGCTCCACTTTAAAGAGGCAGGCAGTGCTGCCAGGGGCTTAGTTCTTCAATCCTTTCTAATTCTGTTTTGATGGCCGGACAATTGGTGTAAATGAAAAAGCACCCCAATTTCAGTCGTACCCAAGCAACAGTCTTAGGACAGATATACTGCCTGGCTCAAGCTACACCAATGCATGCATTTTTGCATTGAGATGGGTTAATAGAGTTAGATCCAGCATAATTTCGACTGGAATTGGTGCCTCCTGCCAGATGCCAGTCCGTCCTTCATGAACTTGGGCTGGACGCTACTGCTTCCTGTTTTAGCGTCTTTGTCCACAGGGCTTGATCCTTTATATCAAAACTATGAATCTCTCGGTCCCACGTCAACTAACTTTCACGCTTGCCATGTCATATTTCATATTGACCCAACTATGAAAAACTCGGCGCTTCGGTGGGATTCGAATCCACGACAATAAGGGTAGGGCTTTAGTACAGCCAACGCTCTAACCACCTGAGCTACGAGGCCCCGTCAGACGACGCGGGTTTAATCACATTTGGATTAACGTCTGGAGTCCACCAAATGTGATACAATAACTTGACTGCCCAAGGAGGCTATCCCAAGTAATTCACCTAGAATCCACCAGATGACTACCAGGCTTACGTAATTCATGGATTTTTGACAGATTCTGAATAATTCATATTAACCCAACTGTGAATTATTCAAAATCTGCCAAAACATGTACGTATGTCATATTTTCCCTGCTCTAGCATTCCGGTTGACGGAGTTGACATGTATTCAACAAAAGGTCTTTGCATTCAAAGCAAACGTTTACGACATCTTTGTTGTGGACGACCTGCTGTCTGCCAAATATCGGACCGGTAGGACACACGGTTTAAATCATGGTTTTTACTTGGCCAGGAATCTGGACACTCTGACGTCTGACCTCTTCATCTGGTGCCCTCTGTTATCAGGACTAGCAATACATTGTTGTACTTCCAGTTTGCTTCGGATCTCCAGTGTAGGGCTTTCACATTCGGCCATCTAGCGGCCAGTAATTAGTAAGTCAGGGCCTTAGATCAGACCTCTAAGGTCAAAGCCACGGCCATATTCCGTTCTGTGTGCCTGGGGTGGATCAACTGACCCCAGTTTCAAGTCACGTTTATGCAGCTGCGTGTGGGTTATGCCGTCAGTCAACTGAACTTTGCTCAGTAGACGACAGTTCGACTGTCGCGAAGGACGACTTCCACCGTCTTTCACCCACGGAGTGGATGCAAAACGGTTTTTACGCCTGAATTAGTTTGTAGTGAAGCAGACCTGCGCAGCGTCTGCTGCATCTCCACTTACCCCACTCCACCTGGTTCCGATGTTATGACAATGTCAAAACGAGCGGAGGTAAACGCTTACGCAGTGGTTAAAGAAGCTCAACGGCCCGCCGACGCGTGTCACGCACACGTCCTGGTCCCCAGTACACGTATCAGACATCTGTAGAATCAGTTCGGGTGTCAGAATGCCAAAAAGGTCACATTTAGAAGGAGTAACTTCAGCCTGACTCTCGGTTCCCCAGTTGCGGCAAAACACACCCATGAAGACCAAGTTAGCCCGCCGGTTGACAACCTTCCGAGCCATGACGCCTGGCTTGTCATGATAGATTCAAGCACAAGAGATTTATCATAGTGAGGAATGCGATGGTGTGCCATTAGGATGGATTTCTCAATGAGCACATATTTGTTCGGCCGTCAGGAACGATGGTGTCCACCCTAAGCCCCGAAGCATGACGGGTGCGGAACGCTGACGTGCTTTAATTAATTCGAAGTGGTAGCGGACTTGCATGGCGCCTGCTGCACTCTGTCCCCCCACCCTTCTTGGACCAGGGACAAGACTGAGTCAGGAGGACCGGAGCGACTGACATAGCTGAAAACCCCATGTTCGAGTCCCACATATCCTCGGCCCGTGCACGTTGGACCGGGCTTTCACAGAAACAAAAATGAGGCCTACCCGGACCCATCTTAGTGGGAGTGCCAAAGGAGCCATTGCAGCTGACTCTCAGTCGTGGGAATAGCACGTTATCACGTCAGCTGACCGCTCTGCAAGCCATTAAATTTGACGCCTACCAGTAGCTTAAGAGCGCATCCGGTTGTTTGTAGTGAGAAAATGTGCTGAAATGCCGTGTGCACGGTGTTCACAGACTCGAATCTACTCCCTCTTCTGTATTCCACGCACCATTCCGCTGTCCGAGCCGGTCAACCATCTGATGCTGTGATTGGACGCAAATGGCTTGTCGGATGGAAGTTCACGCCTAGGCGTACCACCACGCCTCCCCCTGTGCGGCATTTGTTATAGATGCCTGTACTCTGGCCGGCCCACCTAATTTGTCCCATGCTCTAATCTGACCTGCGTATTGAACCAACGCATCTCCTGCGTGGTCCGTTATGAGGGCCCCAATGAGCCCACACAAACCCACATTGTGTGATGATTGACTTTCCTCCTAACAGTTGATTCATTTCTAATGACAGGTTATGCAGGGTGGGATGAAATGCCGTCTACTTTTGTCTTCTTTCTTGTCAGGCTACATCTTCGATGTCTTCGCCACCTACGAACCAGCAATGCTTTTGGCCTCCTGCCTATCCTTCGCAGGCTTCTTGCTCTTTGTTCTTTTCCACTGTGTTCGAACCCGGTCTTTGTCAGTCCAGGAGGATGCACAGAATGACTGCTCATCTTCCGTAACTTTTTAGTTTATCGTCGTCTCCCCCGACCTCAGCCCTCCTGCCCACTCGTAGCTTGTCTTTATACTGTTTACACGCCACCGATGAGCAACTAGTCGATATAAGTAGTTTTGCAATTAACCTACGAGACTTTTTTTACCACCCTCGCGCCTTGTCAGTTGTTTTGCATGGATTTTCCGAACTTCGGTCACTTTTATTAACAGTTTTTGTCTGATTCACCACTTTCCTACTTTTAGTGCTTTTATTTGAGTTTACTTTGGTGTCCGACAATGAACAGGAAAACAAGCCTCTTGAATTACAGTACCTTCGACGAGCACACGGAGCGAATGGCAACTCGTGAAAGTGTGTCGATTTGCACATGGTCGAAACAGTCAAGAGACCCAATCGCAGCGTTCTTATATTTTAGCGAGCCCTCCAGTACTTCAAGAAGGTCCCGGAAGTCGTCAGTCCCCTCACTGCAATCAAGGTTGGGGTTATACGCAACCCAGAGGCAAACATAAGGCGCCAGCTAATTCGGCCAAAATGCCTGCTGCTACAGCAAGAGAAGTCTGGATTCATTTACTGCGCCTGGTGCAATGGGGGAGTAAAACAAATATGTCGGGTAAACTGAGAGGTTACTCTGGACGCGGGTGCCGAACACACTGCAGCAGTGAGGAGGCATTACGCCAGCACTCACTCGGTAGCCCATTTGGCGAAACCCGGCCACGCCTTCAAGTTCTACGATGCCGAGATTTTCGCGTATTGACAGCCGCGTGTGTCGCTAGCTGCTTAAGTTCTGCGTCTCCTGCCCACAGTCCATTTACAAGCCCAGTGGCCACTCCCCTCCATATTTAGCACCAAGACTTTGTCTAGGCAGAGTAATTAGTTATTCGGGGATCACGGGGGTGAGCAGTGTTTCCAGAGGCAGTATTAGTGATAGTAGACACTTGTGGGCAAACTGCGGCGATTAACGACCCGGATGCGGGCACTCCTTGTACGTCTATTGCCCTTACCTGCTGCCGTCTCTGGTGGGGGTCTCTAGAGTGAATCTAAAGCTTTGACGAGTAGAATTTGGCTTCATTTCTCCAGTATCCTCTTAACGTTTCCTGGATCGTGCCCTTTCCTTTGTATCGGAAATCGCCTTCATCATTTACATCTTAACGGTAGGCACCAGCGCCATAGATTTCATTACAACGCCATTTGATCGATCTGTTTATCGTCCTCATCATGATCATCAGCAGAATCGTTCTTCCTCATCGACATATTTAGTAGCAATTTCGACGCTATTTCCAGATCCGTATTCGTCAACGGCAAACTTGTGGTCCGTTTGGCAATAACATGCATTGTTGCCAACACCACTGCGACATCAACTATTTTCATAACACCAAGCCATACATTCATCTTCCATGGTCGTCGCCGTCACCACCGCGAATATCATTACCACCACCACCACCACCACCACCACC